TCAGAAATCCAGCTGGGAAAAACAAATCAATCAAACTCTATCTTCTCCCCAGCAACTCCTGAGCTTCTCACTTGATTAGAAACAGAATTTGAAAAGGCAAGCAGGAAAAAGAGGCTTCACAGGGCTCAGGGAAACAGGTTTTTTTGAAAAGGAATTTTTTCCCTTTCATCCTAGGCCTTTTCCCTGTAAGCCTCATATATACAAGCTGCATTATATTGTTCATATGTTAAATAACTCTGAAATTAAACCTCACGCCTTATTTAACTTCTTTTCTAGTGATTTGCATTTATTTTTTTAGAAAGAAAGCAATGTTGCTCTCCTCACATTGCTCCCTTGACTTAAATTCTTCTACTGGCTCTGCACTGATATTAAATTCTTCATTTATATTTAAACCTTCAGGATCCAGTTCCAACCTGCTATGTAAAACAATTTTTGACCACACCTCCCTCCACCTTTAACCACAAACCCTACCTGTACAATGAAGATGGTTCCAGGGGTTGAATAGAGAATATAAGTGTGTGTGCGTATATGTATAATATATATTATACATATATAACTCACTGTGTGTGTATTTTTTTTTGCACTCCAGGCTTGGGTGTGTTAAAGAACTATAAGTTCAAGGCCGGGCTCTTGGGGACCTCTGCTTTACTGCTTTGTGGAGATCATTCCACTCACACTTGTCACCTGACTGGGTTTAAGTCCTGCCCCTAGCAAGAGGTAAACCAGATTAACTCCAAAGGTATTTAACATCCCTGGCTTCTTTCTATGGGTCTATAATCCTTACCTGCATTATCTGTATTCTTGTGGTTATACTTTTACCCTAAGTCAGCAGGAATCTTTGAACGCTCGTTAGATCCAGTCGTTTTAGTTTTCAAAAACAATACTAATAAGTCCAAAAAAGGCAAGTCATAAAGCAATTATGAAGTGATGAAAAGCGCACTAAGTTTGGAATCAGAAGACAAGAGCTTTGGTTTTTGCTGTTTCTTTACTGGCAGAGTGGCCTCCAGGTAGTTGTTTAACCACTCTACACCTTTATTTCCTCATCTGTACGATGAAGATGGTTCCAGGGGTTGAATAGAGAATATGTGTGTGTGCATATATATAATATACGTTATACATATATATAACTCAACGTGTGTGTATTCTTTTTTGCACACCAGGCTTGGGTGCGTTAAAGAACGATAAGTTCAAGGCCGGGCTTTTGGGGACCTCTGCCTACGGCCTCTGCAGCAGAAGAGGGTGGCTGTGACCTTCGGCCAGTCCCCAACTCGGCAGTCACCCAGCAGTACCCTCGGCGGCGGGAGGAGGAGTGTGTGTCCAGGGGCTAGGAAGGAAGGAGGTTCAAGTAGGGCAATCAGGCCAGCTTTGCTTCCTAACCAAACACCCTAGACGCTTGCTCTGCCCATAAGTCTTGAGATAGCCACTAGAACGTGGGGGCAGACAAGGGAAATGAAGCGTTTGAGACCTCCAGGCTCGGCTTGCCTCGGGTTTAGCAAGAGCCTGGGTCCTAGAAAGACCCGCATGCCCGTGTGACTTAGGACTCCGGAGAAAAAGCTTCCTACGCTCCCGGACGAGATCTGGCAAAAACTCGAGTCTCCACTCTTAACCCTCAGGTGAGGCCCTCGTTACCCCCGCCTCCACGTATACCACCAAATGCTGCCCTGGGTAAAATTAATTACCATAAACTTCTAGCGCTTTCTCTTCCATGATCCGGGGCTGCCGGGCAGCTCCCCGCTCAAAGAGGCCCGACAGCCACAGGACTCTGCTCAGCGTCCAGGAGAGCAGTCCGGACACCCGCTCCATCCTTACGCTCCGCCATCCCTGGCGACTGTCCCACCCGAGCCACCGTCTCTCAGCAACGAGCCTCGCGACTTATCAACTTCCTGGTCTTCAAACGGGCCAAGAGAAGCCTAAAGGTCCAGGGCAGAGAATAGGCGGGACCGGACGGGTATCGCGAAGGACCTAGGTAAGGGAGCCACGAGAACTACAAGCCCCAGCATGCTTTGCTCGGTTTCGGCGGAACAAGGGAAAAACAATTCCTAGAGGCCCATGAGGCGCGTTGCGTGCTGGGTCGTATGGGCGTTTTCTTTGGAAGACGGCGAGCTGCAATATGGGATCTGTAGTCTCCAACGGTGGGCGGGGGCAGGTAACGGTCTGTTAACCGCCGTTAATTGCCTCACTCAGCGTCTGGATAAGCTAAAGATGAAACCCTGAAGAGGTAGGGGAAAGGAGATCTTGATTTCTAGTGCTGGAAGAGCGTCTGCACGGTGACGCCCTACTATTATTTCTCCGAGGGGGCCGCTTCCTGTCAAAGTTTTCTTACGTCCTAGTCAGGCCGGAAGTGAGTTTCCGTCGCGGTTAAATGGGATGTCTTTGGAGCCTAGTAAGGATGGTTAGGCGTGGCGGGAGGAGGGGTTCCTTTTTGTTTTCTCGTCTCTTAGAGACTCAGGCTAGCACAGCTCGCCACTACGAGCTGAGTATTTCTGCCAATCGCCTTCAAGATAACTTAGAACGAGAGAGCTTTCCGACTGTCCAGTGTGTCCAATAGTGACATTGGAGATCGCCATCCTAAAAAGAACGTCTTAAGCCCTCCGATTTGGTGGCAGTGATGGATGCCAGTAACAAGGTTGATGATGCTAATTTTACTTTTATCCATCCATCCCTACAGTCAAATCTCAAACCTTTATTCGATACTTAATTTGCCAGACTTGGTCTATAGACGCCAAGGATACGAAGACAGGACACGGCCCTTACCCTCAAGCAGCTCACAGACCTGTGAGGGAGCCAACCCCTGATGTTGAGGAATTTGCAGTTTCGAACAAATGAAACCTTTTGTCAAAGTTGATGACAAGTTTCGTACCATCTCTATTTTATTTTTTATAAATTTATTAATTTTATTTGTTTTTGGCTGCATTGGGTCTTCGTTGCTGCGCAGGCTTTCTCTAGTTGCGGTGAGCGGGGGCTACTCTTTGTTGCGGTACACAGGCTTCTCATCGTGGTGGCTTCTCTTCCTGCAGAGCACGGGCTCTAGGCACGCGGGCTTCAGTAGTTGTAGCATGCGGGCTGAGTAGTTGTGGCTCGCGGGCTCTAGAGCACAGGCTCAATAGTTGTGGCGCACACGCTTAGTTGCTCTGCGGCATATGGGATCTTCCCGGACCAGGGCTCGAACCTGTGTCCCCTGCATTGGCAGGCGGATTCGTAACCACTGCGCCACCAGGGAAGCCCTCATACCATGTCTATTGAGAGGAAAGTAAGGATTATCTTGCTGAATTATCCCATGATAACATATCCCATTTATCTTTTTTTAAATAGATATTTATAGTAGTATAATTGCTTCACAATACCGTGTTAGTTTCTGTTGCACAACAAAGCGAATCAGCCATATGCATACACATGTCCCCATATCCCCTCCCTCTTGAGCCTCCCTCCCATCCTCTCTATCCCACCCCTCTAGGTCATCGCAAAGCACCGAGCAGATCTCCCGGTGCTATGCTGCTGCTTCCCAGCAACCAACTGTTTAACATTCGGTAGTGTATATGTCAATGCCACTCTCACTTTGCCCCAGCTTCGCCCTCCCACCCCATGTCATCAAGTCCATTCTCGATGTCTACCTATTTATCCCTGCCCTGCAACTAGGTTCATCAGTACCATTTTCTTTTTTTTTTTAGATTCCATATATATGTGTTAGCATACGGTATTTGTTTTTCTCTTTCTGACTTACTTCACTCTGAATGACAGTCTCTAGGTCCATCCACCTCACTACAAATAACTCAGTTTCGTTCCTTTTTATGGCTGAGTAATATTCCTCCCATTTATCTTTAAACTCTTGTCTAGCTGATTAGATTTTAGGCCCACCAGACAACCAGTGAATAATTTAGGTCCCAGGAAAATTTCGTTCAGAGTTTAATAATTCCCCTGCCATCTGTTCCACTCCACTTACTCCACAGCCATTGAGAGGATAATTCTAACTTCCTTGTAATCAAATTTAGGACACTGAAGTCTCACCTCCTGTTTGAGGCCTCCCGACTTCTCCAAACAGAATTGATGATCTCTTTTACTATGCTCCCACAGCACATTATAGCACTGTTCACTTACATGCTCATCTCCCTCAAGCGCCTAGGGGGCCAGAAGCGTCTTTATTTCTATATCTCAAATGCATAGCAGGGTGCCAGGCACACAGTAGATGCTCAATATCTATTTCTTGAATGAATTAACTAAACGTTGTTGAAAGAATGAATAGCAAAACTTTACTGTATCTGTTCAGAGACCTCAATCAAAAATATTTATTGAGGACTTCCCTGGTGGCGCAGTGGTTAAGAATCCGCCTGCCAATGCAGGGGACATGGGTTTGAGCCCTGGCCCATGAAGATCCCACATGCTGCGGAGGAACTAAGCCTGTGCACCACAACTACTGAGCCTGCGCTCTAGAGCCCACGAGCCACAACTACTGAGACCGCGTGCCACAACTACTGAAGCCCATGCACCTAGATCCCGTGCTCCTCAAGAGAAGCCACCTCAATGAGAAGCCCACGCACCACAACAAAGGGTAGCACCCCGTTCGCGGCAACTAGAGAAAGCCTGCGCAGAGCGACGAAGACCCAATGAAAGCAACAATTAAAAATATAAATAATTAAAAAAAATATTTATTGAAGCTCTATGTAGCCACTGTGCTTGGCATGGGTTGGTGGCACGAAGAGGTTTTCAGACTCGCTTCTTCATCTCCTTAAGAAGCCCGGTAGATAGGTAGATAGAGCTATCTAGAGCACAAAGAGCCCTTAAGAACATGCATGTCCCCGAGCGCCTCCTTTTCTGTCCCTTTGCCCCGTAGGTTAAGCGCTCAGCCCTGAGACCAAGTGTTTGGATTGGCTGGGCAGGAGCCCCCGGTCGTCCCGCCCCGCCCCCAGCGCGTAGGCCCCGCCCCGCGCGCCCCGCGGGAGTGGTAGCGGCCTTCCCTCTTCGAGCCGCAGGAACGCTTTGCTCGCGGCACTATCTCTTTATAAAGTTGTTGTTGCGGCTTCCGCCGTGGGTGGAGGAAGATGGCGTCGGGGGGTGGTGGCTGTAGCGCTTCGGGAAGACTCCCTCCGCCCTTCCCTGTCCTGGAGCCGGAGTCCGAGGGAGCAGTCGGGGGGTCAGAACCAGAGGCCGGGGACAGCGACACCGAGGGGGAGGATATTTTCACCGGCGCCGCGGATGCCGTGAGTTCGCACCCTTCGGGGCAGGCGGGCGGGCGCCCCCAAAGGAAAGCGACGCTAAGCGAGGGTTGGGGAGGCTGGGCAGAGTGGGCCCGGCGAGACCTTACGCTGGTGACAGTAGTCGTGGCTTGGGTTCTAGATGAGCACCGAGACATAGGGCCCGGCTTCCCCGCCCCTGGGCGGACGGTGAGGAGTGAGGGATGTGGTGGCTTCTCAGCTGAGGTCCGTGACAGCGAAGAGCTTCCGAGGCGGGCATTTGGTCCTGCCTTGCGGACCCACGGACCCACGGGGCTGGTTTGCTGGTGGTTTCCTGCCAGGCTGATTTAATAGATCAAGATAAGGGGTTGGGGTGCAGACTTTCCTTTACCTCGCCTTACTGTTCCAAGGATGAATAATGTTATCTGGAGTTGCCCAGGATAGTGACCTGCCCACAAATCCTTTCGTTAGCTCCATCCTTACCGGTGATTACTAAAGGTCCTTTTGGATCTTAGTCTAGGAGAATTAACTTGACTCCTTTGATCTCTAGGAAAATCCTGCCAGATGTCGGTTGAAAAAAAGGTCCTGCCAGATAAACCACTACGTAGATCGAAAGCTTTGTCCCTGGTTTTTGTGCCTAAGTACCTCAGTGGGAGCAAATCTGTAAATGAGAAGAGGAAATGGTGTTTCCTATAGTAATATCCGGGTTTCTTATAAGAGTTAGGTATTGAAAAAAACTCATCTTTATATGTGGAATGTGGAAATCAATAATCAGTTCTGGAACCAATGGAGATGTTTTTGGGCTGTTTTATAAGAATACTGACTCATACCATTTGGTACAGTTAGTTCCAGGTTGAAAACTTCTTCAGTGCTAAGAGTGAATTTATGTTTCTTTCTATCTTGGTTAATGCTTAGCTTCATAGTAGCTACTCAGTATATGAGTGACTAAATAAAACAGCTTTAAATTCTTTATGCAAGCATGTGTCTGAGAAAGTTTGAGGCTTCTCTCATTTAAGTCAGAAAAAGGTTAAGCTTCTTGGCAATGCCTTCTGTGATAATCATTAGATTTTTCCGTGTACTGTATTTAGGAATTAAGTCCATAATCCCAGCTCAAAAAGTGTTTGCTGATGCTTATATAACAGCTCACACTGTCAAATGAAGTCTCTGTTATTCTGAGAAATAACTCTTGCTGCTAATTTAGTTCTGTATCCCATTTAAAACAAATCTTTTGTCTATTCCTTTAGTAATTCCCTCATAAGCCATGCAGAACAGCGACTGTTGATAACTGCTGAGATGGTAGATAGTCAGACTGAACAACTGAAAACAGAGACTCTGGCTCTGAAAGCAATTGGTCACATTGGTAAATGATGATTTATTTTTCAAAAAGGACCCTGGAAGGATGAGTTGTTATTTTCTAAAGTTCTCTAAGTAAGTTCAAGAGGTTGTGATTTGATTGGTCTCACCAGATTACTTCCCAGAGGCATCCATACTTGTCTCCTAAGATAGTGAAAATACTTTGCCTAATTTCCATCTAAGGGGAGGAGAAGGGGGTCAGAATGAACTTGTTCTACCACAGAAAGCCAAATTATTTTTATTTAGATTTTGATCCAGGAAAATTGAGTTGCTGAGGGAACTAAAATGCCACCTGTAAGCCATTTTTTAGCAGCTTGTCTTGATGTTAATCTTCAGAAAGCCGAGACCCCAAGATTCCTCACTAGTTAGGCTGTGAATTTTTTGTTAAATAGTCAATACAAATTATATTACAATAAATGCTTTAGTTGTGAGCCAGTGTGAGAAGATGGATTGCAGTGCTTCTGTATCTTAAGGAACAAGATTGAAGAATAAAGTAATTAAGAAAGTGGGCTTTGAAGCCTGGTTTAAATCCAGGCTCTGTTACTTGCTGGCTTAACCTTGGGAAGGGTACTTATTTACTCTGTACAGTTTCCTCACCTGTAAAATGTGAATAGTAATAGTATTTACCTCCACCATTACTGTGAGGATTAAATTAGAATACCTGTAAAACACTTAGAACAGTTGAGCATTTTGTAAACTAGAATTACTCGAAGAATCAAAAACCCCACAAAATCTAATAATGAATTAGAAAAGTTTAATTAATCCTAAAAATGGTTAATATAATTTATCAAAATCAAACTGGTAATAAGATTGATTTGATTAAAAGCCATCAAAGTAGGCACTTAATGACTTCAGTAGCATCCTACTGATTTAAGTTTATCTTCATACTAGGTTTTGTTGCATGTTGGAGGCAAAGAGAGGAATATTAAAGAATTGAGAAGCTGAGGCATATAAAGTTTAAAACTCATTTTTGGTATGCATGTAATTTCCTGGACATTGATGTAACAGCTGCTGCTGTTAATCATCCCATCTGCTCTCTTTTAGAGCCCAAGAGGCTTTCTTAATATGGTAATAAAAATATGATTTGATTTTTAATGGAAAGAGCAGCCCCTGATATGCATTTTAGGATCTACAAACCAGTTATCTGAATGGGATAGACTGGAGTTAAAAGGATTATTAAAACAAATCTGAAATCATTGCCTTAAGCCTGAAAACCAGTTTGTGGAAGGTCTGGTTCTTAAGAATACTCAAGACCTTATCTTCTTTATGCCTCTTACTTTGTGGACCTGTGAATAAAAAGGTCTAAAATTTTAAATATATTATCTGAATCTTTGATTGGACCTGAATCCAGATATGTATCTATTTAGTTAAAACTTTCTTAGTTCTAGGATAGGATTAATTTTTCCCATAGTAAAAAGAGAGACTAAATTAGAGCCCCTTTTCGGTTCTTCTAATTCTTAAAATTGTTATGTTAAAAACACTAAATAGCATACATGTTTTTACATCTCATTTGACCTCACTGGTCTTATTTGCATACTTCTAAACCGGAAAGGTAAAATTGAAGCAAGTTCTTTATCTGCCATCCCAGAAGCTCTTATATGCTCATCTCTTTAGCAGTATGCCAGGACCACCATTAGATTTTGCCCTCTGAATAAAAGAGGAGAACTGTGGTGGCCTTCCTCATGCTGAGAAAAAGGAGGGAAACATAGATTAATGATATCCTTGGTTCAGGTTTTGGCCAAATCTGGTAACTTCTTCATTTGATGATATATTATACCAATTAGATTTTTTTTTCTCACCACTCTTATTCTTAAATTGAAACCCTTGTAATTAGAGAAATGGCTAGAAAAAAAGAATAGGATAAAGACAAAATAGCAGGGGACTTGAAAATGAAAAATCATATATTGAAAAGATTGTCTTTGGCTAATCAAGACTTATTTACATATTTCCACTGGTGTTTAAAGAACAATGTCACTAGCCTTTATTGGTAGTCAAAAGTCAAGGATAGCAATTGGCTTCTGATTGACAATGTTTTATGGACTATAGGGAATTATATAAACATAAGTTACATATTAACATTTAGACAGAAAAGGGCATGGTATTTTTAGAATCCAGTCCTACATCTATGATCAATATAACATGTATCCTGAGGGGAAAACAAATCAGCTTTTTTTAAATTGTGGTATAAAACACATAACAAAATTTATCATCATAACCATTTTAAATTGTACAGTTCAGTAGTGCTAAGTATACTCACATTTGTGTGAAACAGATCTCCTGCATTAAAAAACAACTCCTCTTATCCCCCTCCCCTGGGCCCCTGGTAGCCACCATTCTACTTTCTGTTTCTATGAATTTGACTGCTTTAGATAACCTCATAAAGTGGACTCATACAGTATTTGTCTTTTTTGTGACTGGTTTATTTCACTTAGCACAGTATCCTCAAGATTCATCCATGTTGTAGCATGTATCATAATTTCCTTCCTTTTTAAGGCTGAATAATATTCCATCAAATGTACATACCACATTTCATTTATCCATACATCCTTCAGTGGATGTGTAGGTTACTTCTGCCTTTTGGCTCTATGAGTAGTGCTGCTATGGGTATGCAAATATCTCTTTGAGACCCTGCTTTCAATTCTTTTGCATATATACTCGGAAGTGGGATTGCTGGATCATAAGGTAGTTCTATTTTTAAGTTTTTGAGGAACCTCCATACTGTTTTCCATAGCAGTTGCACCATTTTACAATGTTATCTCAGCTCTTCTTTTAAGACCAGTTTATTTCCTTTTGAGTGCTTATAGGATAACATTTTTAGATCTGGATATAAGTTGGTAATTTCATTAAAAGCTCTAAGGAAATTGATAGTTTAACTGGCTAAGATTTTAATTCTCTGTTCTGCAAAATGCGTGGTGGCTATTCCCAAAGGTATAACATGTCTTCAGTAAGTTTCTTGATACTGTCCTTTCTCTGTTCCTAATCAGACTTCTTTTTTTTAAAAAAAAAATAAGTTTATTTATTTATTTATGGCTGTGTTGAGTCTTTTGTTACTGCGCATGGGCTTTCTCTAGTTGCGGTGAGCGGGGGCTACTCTTTGTTGCGGTGGGCAGGCTTCTCTTGTTGTGGAGCACGGGCTCTAAGCGTGCGGGCTTCAGTAGTTGTGGCACGCAGGCTCAGTAGTTGTGGCTCGCAGGCTCAGTAGTTGTGGCACACGGGCTTAGCTGCTCCACGGCATGTAGGATCTTCCTGGGCCAGGGCTTGAACCCGTGTTCCCTGCATTGGCAGGCAGAGTCTTCATCACTGCACCACCAGGGAAGTTCCCTAATCAGACTTCTTAAAGTTAATCTATACAACAGTATTTTTAAACAGATTTAATACTTAGTTTCTTTAGTTAATGGTATAGTCATTTACAACTAATATTAGTAAATAGTCATGGGTAACTGTCCGTCTAGTTTGTAGTATTTTCTATACGCATATTGTCTCAAACACTTGTTTTTGGAGCTAACATCACATCAGGTGGTCAGATCTGATCAAAAGATCAGAAGTTGAAATTACACATTTTTCACACAGGTCTGATACAGATGTTCTTGGAAAAGTCAGTAACTGGTGTTTTGTCTAAAGATTCATTTTAATGCTCAGCTCAAATTGTAAACTTCTAGTAAGTTTAGATTTTC